GGGGGATGCGGGCCGGGGGATGCGGGCCGGGCCCCGGGATCTGCCGGGCCGTAGCTGGGGGTGTGATTCCCGCCCTGGTGCCCGGGTGCCACGGTCGGGGCCGCGGGGCCCTGAGAAGACACTGAAACCCATTTCCAGCCTCGGAAACCCGGCCAGGGAACTGCTTGTGTGTCATGGTCCCATCCCAGCGTGTTAAATCTTGACTTTCTGTGAATTGACCCAGTTCCTGGGTGAACTAGGAGGGCTTAGAAAAGCTGTAGGCTGGACCCCAGGAACCAGGGTTACTTCCGCTCAGCCTGTGGGTCATCTTGGGGGTGTTGCATGGCTACTGAGCAGGTGGTCTGGGTTGTCCTCGGGACCTTGGGGATTGGATGGAGCTGTGGGGGGTTCCCTACGGGTCTCGGGGGTGGCACCCACTCGTAAGCAGGGACCTTCTGCTTGGCGTTGGCCCTCCTCAGGGTTGCTGTCTGTTCTGGTGGTATGGGGGGGGCGGAGGGCGCATCCTGAACAGGCCCACCGGAGTCACCGCAGAGCGCCCTGGGCATTTTGACCTCCGGGTTCCTGTCGGAGTTCTCATGCTGACCTCAGTGACTAAAATGTGTTGAAGCATGGCTTGTCCCCCGAGGTGGGAGGGCCAGAGCTGGGGGGTGGGGGTTTCCCTTCCCTGTTCTCTGAGCCCTGGGCACTACATCCCTCTGCTCCGGGGAGGACTTAGGAAGAGCAGACCAGGAACCAGGCGTAACCTGCACGCCCGGTACGTGTCTGTCCCCATAGCAGCTGGAGGTGGGCAGGAGCTCAGCAGCTCTCCCTGAGCTCCTTCTGTGCACTTCCAGTGAGACACTCAGAAGGCAAGGGTGCCTCGCTTTCTGACATGGGCTCTCGGGGCCCCATCTGGGAGCAGAGACACGGTGTCGACAGCTGCATGCCATGCAGCCTCCTTGAACTGTGCCCTGTTCACCATCACTCAGCCAGAGTGCGGAGCGGTGGCCAGGGGCAGAGCCTCCAGAGGACACTGGATTCCAGTGGCTTTTTTTTTTTTTACCTCTTTATTGAGGGGTGTTTGGGGTTCGGAATAGAGTGTGTGCCTATGAGACCACCACCGCCGTCTGCGCCATGGACGTCCCTGTGTCCGATGGGCAGCTTCTCCTCGTGTCTCTGCTTATCTCTCAATTTCTGATGATTTACTTAACCGTTTAATATTGGACAGATTCCGTTTTGTGTTTGGTTTCTATTAACTAGTTCTGTTCATGTGAGGCATTAACATTTAACTTAAGTTAAAGAGACCAGAAGAATCCAGAGAGTGGGTGCCAGGTGTTTGCACGTGACCTGTTTCTTGCCTTCTCTTGGACTGGCTCGGGCTGCTGTTTCTGGGGCACTTGTGCCACGTGGGGCATCTCCAGCATAGCTCTTGTAGGCCTCTGTGTTTTGGCGGAGGGTCGGTACCAGATCAGGACAGGTTTTTTTTGTGGCGACGGCTCAGATTAGAAGGGCCCTCATTTGTGAGATGTGGTGTGTAATTTCACCCCCAGAGGCCTCAGACCTGAGGGGTTGTGACTCCCCCAGGTGGTGCGACAGTAACACACTTGGCACACAGTCTGCAGCTCATGGAGCTCCTGCCTGGACATTGGCATGTCAGTTTCCCCAGGTCCTCAAATCTGGCCCCCCACAGGGGAACTAGCTGGCAGTCAGGATACCCAGTCTTCTCCCCCATACAACCCCAGAGGGACTCTCGGGGCCACTGCACTGTCAGACTAACCGCAGAGAGCAGCAGAGCCTGGCCCGGACCCTCGCTGTCCTCCCCTTCCATTGCAACAGGCCCTGAACTGGCAGAGGAGAGAGACGTGTGGGGGCCCAGCATCTACAGGGTACAGGCCTCCCCCCTGGATGGCACCCTGAAGCAAACGGCAGGACACTCAGAAGGAGCCTGGTGATAGAGCTGCCACACGTGGAGAACCAGAAATAGAAGCGAATTTGTTATTCCAAGACTTGTCACAGGGTCCTTAGGTGCGCACTGGAAGTTGTAGGCCTGCAGGCATCCTTCCTGCCCATCTCTCCCACACCCCTTCCCAGCGCCCAGTTTGCCCCTCCTGGGAGTTAACCCGCTCAGCACCATCGTGCAGTTCCTCTGCCCAGGGAGGGCGCACACAGGCCAAGCGAGACTGCAGTCCCTGCCTCCCAGGGTCCTGGTGGGCTCCTGGGAGCTCAGACCAAGGCATCCAGGCAAGGGTGGGGCCCAGAGGCCTGCCCTGGGAGCTGTGTGAGGAGCCCGGGGCCTCCAGTGCGGGCATGCGGGAGGCTCTGAATGGAAGTGTTTCGGGCTCAGGGAACGGCAGGGGTGCAGAGACCTAGGGGGGCCCACAGGAGAGACAGAGCCCCACAGAGCCACATCTGCCCAGGTCTCTGAGGAGAAGCACCGGCCATTGCCCTTGTTCCCCTCAGGTGAACCTTTGCAGCAGTTCTCAGCCATCCCTGAAAGGGTCATCACAATCCCCTTGTAGCCTAAAAAGTACGGTGGCCCGTCCCTAGTCCCATGTCACTGGAGGCTGCTTCAGCCCGCAGCAGTGTTCAGTAAGAGAGAAGACCTCCGGCACGCCAGGATGGTACCGAGTGCCCTCGGGGCCGCTGCAGGGCCAGCCTCCTTTGGTTGGGCAGGGGCCTGAGGGGGGGGCGCCTGAGCTGCAGCCGTGTGACCGGCAGGCCCAGCCACGGGAAAACCCGCAGTGGGGTGTTCTGGTAGAACCACAAAGAGGAACCCGAGCTGCCCTGCAGGGCCCAGCTCGCCAGGAGCAGGTCGGAGCCGCAAGCAGGAGATCCTTGGAGGGCGTTCTGACCGGTTGTTCTGGCATGAGGACACTTTGGTGTGGCTTTAGGACTTAGCCGTGAAACTAAGAATCCCAAAGCAAGGTGGTGTGTAGGGTTTTTTAGTTTTGTTGTTGTTCAGGGTGGGAGGCATTAGAATAATCTACTCTTTCCAGGTAACACTTTGTATCAGAAACTGCCATGTTGTAACTTAGCATTTCATGTAACTAGTTGGTAAGGTTCTTCCTAAGGATGGGGAGTGGGAACCCCAGAGTGTGAGGCTTCACGCTCCTGTTAAAAACCCAAAAGCCATAACCTTTCCTCTGCATCCACCCTGTACCTGGGAGCTGAGGGCCGCCCACCTCACCGGCGGGCCAGGGAGCTGAGGGCCGAGGGCCCTTCTAGGCTGAGCTGCGGCCGCCACATTCCCTCCTGTTCTACCGTGAAGACTGCCGAGCGTCCAGTCCCAGCCCTGGTCCCCCATCTTGGCGTCGGCAGCAAGGCCTCTGTCCGACACCATCACCGGTGTGTAAAGCTGCAGGTTTGATGGAACTGACTAGAACCTTCACCTGTCACTTTAGGCAGGAGACGTGGCAGCCCTGAAACTAGGAGGTGGCCTCAGCCAATGGCCCGGGAGGGCCCGGGCCCTCAGGCCGCCAGCTCCCGGCCAGTGACCTCTAGGGAAGAGCGCTGGTGGGCAGGGCTTCTCCCCAGGTCCCCAGGAGCCTTGTTTGTGGGCTTTGGGGTTTTTTTCTGTTTTTTTTTTCCTGGAAGTTTTCCATGACTTCTGTCTTCCATCCTCTCTGATAGTTGTGGCTTTTTACTTTTTTCTGTTACATGACACAGGGGAAAGGTAATGGTCTCTCCACCAAGTCCCACGTTCGTGCTCCTGCACCCTCCCACCCCTGGTGCTGCACAAGTGCCCCTGGGGCGTCCCATTATGGGAGCTGGCCCCATGCAGCCGCAGGGGTGTCACTGGGCAGGAAGGGGCAGGCGGATCCCTAGGGATGTGGGGCTTCCAGATCGTGCTGGGCTGCAGACGTCCCCAGGGGAGGCCAGTGGTCTGAACGCTGCGGGGCCTGGGGCCCTTGCGTTGCCCTAAAGGAACGTGTGCGGGGTCTCGCTGTCTGGGACCCCGGCTCTGGCCCCAGCTCCCCTCCCTCCCAGGCTCATTGCTGGCTCACCCTGCAGCCGGTGGCCAGACACCTTCTGCTCTCATTCCACAGCTGCGTCTGTCTCCCGTGAAGCTGTCTGAGCTCCATGCTGACCTGAAGATACAGGAAAGGGATGAGCTCAACTGGAAGAAATCGAAGGCCGAAGGCTTAGATGAAGATGGCGAGAAAGAAGCAAGGCTTACACGCAACCTCAACGGTACCTTTCTTTCTTTCCTTCGCATGTAAGGGGAGCAGTCTCCCAGCGTCTGTGGCACTGGCTTATTTTGACGTGGTTTATGGACAGAAAGAGAGCGGGGGCCTGCCTAGTGGCTCACCTCCGAGGACAAGAGCCCCAAGCATAGGCTGTTCATGGGGGCCCTTGGCAAACTGGAGGAGGCCAGCCAGGGACGCCTGGGCTCTGGGCCGTTTGGCCCGGGAAGGAGGTCAGGCCGGCCGAGTGCATGCAGGCACCCAGGAGAGGACGCAGGATGTCCCCAGGGTCTGGACGTTACAGGGAAGCACATTTCAGGCCTCTGACCATGGACTGTGTGGAGGTGCAATGCTGTGAGCTGCTTGTTACTGCGGGGTTCAGGAAGAGGCAGGACGCGTCTGCCTGGCACACCCACGGGTTCACAGGGTGAGAGGTGCTCAGACCCCCTCTGTGAGCTGGTAGGGGCAGGACTCCCAGCCACTGCCCAGGCACTCTGGCTCAGCTGTGTTGTGGGTGGTTCTGAGTCACAGGTCTCACTGTTTCCCACGTGCCGACAAGCAACGAGCTGGGTTGCTCCCACACCTGGAGACCCGCTGCACCCTGGCCTGGCCCCGCGTGGGATGTGGCACACCTGCACAGGGCAGGGCACGGCATGGCGGGACACAAAGAGGAACCCGAGCTGCCCTGCAGGGCCCAGCTCGCCAGGAGCAGGTCGGAGCCGCAAGCAGGAGATCCTTGGAGGGCGTTCTGACCGGTTGTTCTGGCATGAGGACACTTTGGTGTGGCTTTAGGACTTAGCCCTGAAACTAAGAATCCCAAAGCAAGGTGGTGTGTAGGGTTTTTTAGTTTTGTTGTTGTTCAGGGTGGGAGGCATTAGAATAATCTACTCTTTCCAGGTAACACTTTGTATCAGAAACTGCCATGTTGTAACTTAGCATTTCATGTAACTAGTTGGTAAGGTTCTTCCTAAGGATGGGGAGTGGGAACCCCAGAGTGTGAGGCTTCACGCTCCTGTTAAAAACCCAAAAGCCATAACCTTTCCTCTGCATCCACCCTGTACCTGGGAGCTGAGGGCCGCCCACCTCACCGGCGGGCCAGGGAGCTGAGGGCCGAGGGCCCTTCTAGGCTGAGCTGCGGCCGCCACATTCCCTCCTGTTCTACCGTGAAGACTGCCGAGTGTCCAGTCCCAGCCCTGGTCCCCCATCTTGGCGTCGGCAGCAAGGCCTCTGTCCGACACCATCACCGGTGTGTAAAGCTGCAGGTTTGATGGAACTGACTAGAACCTTCACCTGTCACTTTAGGCAGGAGACGTGGCAGCCCTGAAACTAGGAGGTGGCCTCAGCCAATGGCCCGGGAGGGCCCGGGCCCTCAGGCCGCCAGCTCCCGGCCAGTGACCTCTAGGGAAGAGCGCTGGTGGGCAGGGCTTCTCCCCAGGTCCCCAGGAGCCTTGTTTGTGGGCTTTGGGGGTTTTTTTCTGTTTTTTTTTTTCCTGGAAGTTTTCCATGACTTCTGTCTTCCATCCTCTCTGATAGTTGTGGCTTTTTACTTTTTTCTGTTACATGACACAGGGGAAAGGTAATGGTCTCTCCACCAAGTCCCACGTTCGTGCTCCTGCACCCTCCCACCCCTGGTGCTGCACAAGTGCCCCTGGGGCGTCCCATTATGGGAGCTGGCCCCATGCAGCCGCAGGGGTGTCACTGGGCAGGAAGGGGCAGGCGGATCCCTAGGGATGTGGGGCTTCCAGATCGTGCTGGGCTGCAGACGTCCCCAGGGGAGGCCAGTGGTCTGAACGCTGCGGGGCCTGGGGCCCTTGCGTTGCCCTAAAGGAACGTGTGCGGGGTCTCGCTGTCTGGGACCCCGGCTCTGGCCCCAGCTCCCCTCCCTCCCAGGCTCATTGCTGGCTCACCCTGCAGCCGGTGGCCAGACACCCTCTGCTCTCATTCCACAGCTGCGTCTGTCTCCCGTGAAGCTGTCTGAGCTCCATGCTGACCTGAAGATACAGGAAAGGGATGAGCTCAACTGGAAGAAATCGAAGGCCGAAGGCTTAGATGAAGATGGCGAGAAAGAAGCAAGGCTTACACGCAACCTCAACGGTACCTTTCTTTCTTTCCTTCGCATGTAAGGGGAGCAGTCTCCCAGCGTCTGTGGCACTGGCTTATTTTGACGTGGTTTATGGACAGAAAGAGAGCGGGGGCCTGCCTAGTGGCTCACCTCCGAGGACAAGAGCCCCAAGCATAGGCTGTTCATGGGGGCCCTTGGCAAACTGGAGGAGGCCAGCCAGGGACGCCTGGGCTCTGGGCCGTTTGGCCCGGGAAGGAGGTCAGGCCGGCCGAGTGCATGCAGGCACCCAGGAGAGGACGCAGGATGTCCCCAGGGTCTGGACGTTACAGGGAAGCACATTTCAGGCCTCTGACCATGGACTGTGTGGAGGTGCAATGCTGTGAGCTGCTTGTTACTGCGGGGTTCAGGAAGAGGCAGGACGCGTCTGCCTGGCACACCCACGGGTTCACAGGGTGAGAGGTGCTCAGACCCCCTCTGTGAGCTGGTAGGGGCAGGACTCCCAGCCACTGCCCAGGCACTCTGGCTCAGCTGTGTTGTGGGTGGTTCTGAGTCACAGGTCTCACTGTTTCCCACGTGCCGACAAGCAACGAGCTGGGTTGCTCCCACACCTGGAGACCCGCTGCACCCTGGCCTGGCCCCGCGTGGGATGTGGCACACCTGCACAGGGCAGGGCACGGCATGGCGGGTGGCACTGTTGAGGCCAGAGTATGGTTGGCGCTGTGGCCCACCTCCTGTGTCGCTGGTTTTCTCAGACGCGGCAACACACACAGTATCTAGGGTCCCTCTCTGAGGCCAGATACTGTAACGTGCCCAAGACTTGGAGGCACTCTTGGTGTCCCTGCCTATGGCCAGGGGACCAGGGCTTAGAGAGGGCAATGTGTCTGTGCTCTCACAGCTCTGAGAGGTGCGGTAAGATGTGAACTCGTGATTTTCTGGCTTGGAGCCAGGGTTACTTCCCCAGCCACCTGGTGTCCTTGATGCACAGTCTTGTCAGGACACCTGGTGTGTGTCTTAGGTCTGCATTGGGTGAGGACACATGCTATTTCATATGGCCACCTCCTGGAATATGGAGGGGCATCTTAAAGCCACAGTGGGTAACAGGGACTGTCAGGGAGGAGACATAAAGCGCCTTGAAATAACTGCCCCCAGCAAGCATGTCTAGGGGCCTCAGAGGCCTGGGACGGGAGCCCAGCCTGGAGCCACGTCAGGGAGAAGCCACTGGAGCAGCCAGGGCCCTCGGAACAGCGTCATCTCTGAAGGAGCCACCCCAGTGCACCACGGCCCAGGCCGAGGGGCCGAAGGAGCGCGAGGGCACAGGCGCACCCGTGGCCGTCTCCCTCCCCGTGACCTGACACCCTGGACTCCACTGCGAGGAGCCCAGACAGCACCCAGGGCTCTCCCGGGTGAGCCACTTGTGCTTGGGGGGCACCCACTTCTTCATGGGAGTCAAGGTAACATGGCAGAAGATGCAGCCAGTCTGAAAAGAACTGGGTGCTGAAGCAGTGACCTGTGTTCACTGAGTGGCTGGCCGTCCTCTGGACGTGGCCTGTGGGCCCCCATAGCCCTCTGTCATCCATCCCACCACCACCATTCCCAGAGCTGGTGCCACAGCAGGCAGCCATACAGTGCAGCATCTAGACCAGCACTTGGGACACGACACGGAGGACCCACGTGTAACCAGGTCTGCCAGGCATGCCAAACAAGCGGCCCCCCCCAGCCGTGCCCCAGCGCCTTGGGGAGCAGACCCCTAGGGCTGAGTGCCCCCAGGATGGCTGCCCTTGCACGCCCACCACAGCACCCCCACGGGATGCACTCCGTACTGTGAACAGAGGGGCTGGCTTGCTGCTCCTTGGGGCCTTTTCTCACGCCAGTGTTAGTGACTGCGGTTCATGCAGAACCCAGCGCTCTGGGATCCAGAAGCTTCTGCAGTGCGGGGTACCAAGTGTGCAGTCCCAGCCTTGTGTGACATGTGACTCGGCTTTTGATGGGGTCTGATGCAGCTTTGCTGGGCCTTGGGCTCCAGCTCAGAAGGCCTGGTACAGCTGGTCTCCAAGAGCCTGATGACACAGGCCTGCCATCCCCATTGCCCCACCTCCCCAGGGGCAGTGGCCTGCTCTGGGCTGCTGGGGTCATTCCCAGAACATCACACATGCAGAGCCTGGGGGTGCAGCCCAGGCCCTTCTTGGTGCTGGTGAGGCAGTGGCCCAGACGTGGGGGCTGACCAGGACCCAGGCTCCACATGGGCCTTGGCAGCACCGGTGCCAGCTTGATGCGCCTGGAAGCAGCCGGACGGCCTTTTCCTCTCAAGAGCTTTAAGGGGTGAATCACGCGTGGTGGGGTACAGGTCGGCCATAGGCTCCCCTGCTGCATGGGGCAGTACAGAGGGATTCTCCATTCTTTCTCCTGGGTTGGTGGTGACGCTGGGGACACCACAAGCCCTCACAGGCTGGCCCAGGGGGATGCACAGTCCCCACAGCTCATGCTGCAGCCCACCAGTGGCCCTCCCTTCTGGACATGGAGTCCTGAAGCCCAGATGGCACAGAGCGAGGCCGGGAGGGGCAGCCTCCAAGAGCTGAGGCAGGGCAGGCCCTCGGCGAGGAGCTGCGGGGGCCCCGGGCAGGCCGCCCCAGGGCTGTGGAGGCCTGGGGAGCCTCAGCCACCTGCACAGTCCAGCTATCGGGGAAGCAGCTCGGCCTCCACCTCGGGGACAGTGCAGTGGCAGGGCCTGCTTCCAGCTCCCACTTCACAGACGGATGGGCTGCATCCAGGGCGGGCTGTGTTCACCTCAGTGGCCGGGCCACCATAACCTCTGGCTTGTGTGATGACCCAGGGGTTGGGGGACAGGAAAAGAAAGCCCCATGCAGCTTTCAGAGAAGATAGTTGGAGTTTGGGAGAGGCTGCATGAGGCCCTGGAGGGGGCCCCGTCCCTTCAGAGCAGGGGGGTGGGGCAAGCCCCTCTCCAACTAAGGAGACAGCGGAGCAGGGAAGGAGGTGCTGAGAGGCCAAGCCATCCAGGGTGGGCCCCGAGTTCTGGGGGAGACCCAGCAGAGGGCTCCTCAAATGGCTGGAAGTCAGAATTGAGGCCCGTCCTGGAGAGCCCCTTCCCAGCCCTCCTGGGCATCACCCATGTTGTGCTGGTGGGGCTGTGGAGAGGCTGGCTGCGGTGACCCGGCAGCTCTGTGAAGAGGCCTGTGGTGGGCGCCATGTCCTGGCATTACTGAGAAGCGATGCCAGCCACCATCCCCATGGGGGCCATAGCATCCTGAGGCCGACTTTTCACTGTTGACGTGTTTTTGGAAGCTGCTGATGCTTAAGTTCCTCCTCTAGAAAATTTTTCCCCCAGATAAAAATGTGATTTGGGTCATGGAAAAGCTATCCCCAGCCTCTATCCCATCCGTCCACCCACTGAGCTGCCTTCACCCCCACACTCACCGGAGTTTGCCCCACGGCAAAAACTAAGGCAGTACATTTTGGTTTTGTAAATCTGTGCAACTGTCCATAGAAACAGCCCCAGTGGTAGTGACTCCAGTCCTGGGCATCGTGCCCATGCACCAGTGCAGTCCAGTTTGATGCAGGATTCGAGGTGGAAGGGTGCACGGCAGGAAGCCCAAAGTGGCACAGCGGTGGGAGCAGGAGCCCAGACTCGTTTGTGTCCATGTTCCCGCCAGCCTGCGTGGTCACCAGAAACCCAGGGTGGGCAGGAGGAGTGACAGGAAGCGAGGAGCAGGCCTGCCCCCCTTCGAGGCGCTGCAGTGGGCCGCTCCGCCCGCCCTCGGACGAGAACCGGGCTTGTAATGCCTCCCATTTCTCTCCTAGTCATCCTGGCCAAGTACGGGCTGGACGGGAGAAAGGACACCCAGGCCACAAGCAACTCCCTCAACGGTGGTGCCCAGGACGACAGCCTGGGGGACCCCCGGCTGGAGAAGCTGTGGCACAAGGTACCCCTCATCGCTTTCCATGAACTGCAGAAGTTACACTCCCTTCAGGAGTTAAGGGGGACACCTGCTAGGGCTCCCATGTAGGGTCTCACCAAGGCTGTGGCTTCTCCAGAGCTCCTCACGCCGTTTTGCTGCGGCTGTCTCTCTCTTCCCCGTGAGCATCCCCTGCTTCCCGGTGTGGAATGCCCACTGCCCGCCCAGTGAAGGAATCGTGCTCTGCATGTAGCCCTCAAGCTGCAAATGTCAGGAATGTGCTTGACAAGATGTGGTTACACACGAGCTTGCAGCGTGACACAGGTGGAGTTCGTACTCGGGGTTCGGTTCTGGGTTTGATCTGCACACGGTTTCTGAGATTCAGACAGGTGCCTTCACCTGCGGCCGGTGTTGGGACTGGGCTGGCAGCACCAGGTTGGGGGTGGGGGTGCACTGGCTGCCCCCAGCCCTTTCCTGTGGAGGTGCAAACCTCAGGTGGGGGCTGGCGCTGGCCAGCCTGGGATGAGCGCCCACTGCATTCCTTTCTCCTGGCTCCTGTCCAGGACGTTCTGTCCAGACCACATTGAGCAGGGCCGAGAATTGGAACTCACAGCTGCCTGTGTCCTTGGTCACAAGGGCTGAGCTGCAGGGAGGCTCTGCTGTGGCCAGGGGACCTGCCCTGTCTGCATGTCACCACATGGCCCCTGGGGCCGGGTGGGGTGATGATGCCACTGGCCTGGGGTCCCTTCTGGAAGGAGACCTTGGCCACTCCCGCACCTACATCTGTGGGGTCATGCCGCTCCCCACACCCGGCTACCTCGTGGCTGTCCCCCCATCAGGCCTTAGAGACACTCAGGAGTGGCAACAGTTTTTATTTTCTGCCACACAGCCATTCAGTTGAGGTCTCAGCCTACACATAACCAGGGCTGTGGCTGGACCGGCCCCTGTGGTTCTTACTGTGATTATAAGATGCCCTCAACAGTGACATGAGGAAACATAAAGGAGACAAGGTTTATCACTTACAGGTGCTGGAAATTTCCCGCCACGCCTGGGGGCCACACAGCGAGGTCTGGAGGTGGTGGTGGGAGAGGGTGTGGGTGCACATGAGGGCCTGGGGGTCTGCTCTTCTGGGGTCGGGAGTAGAGGCCTAGGGTGTCAGGGGCTCACTCTTTATTGGTGAGTTTAAAACGTAAGAGTGGGAATTTAAAGCACTGGACAAGAAAAACTAGTGGCCCAAATGGTCAGTTACCTAAATCACCCACGATCTCTGACAGAGGAGCTGGGGGAGAGCGGCCAACTCCTTTTCCAGCTGTGCAGCGGGCAGGGGGACCGTTGAGCGCCTCTTTGAGGGGGATGCCTTGGCCATTGAAGCTTCAGTCGGGCCCTGGCGCTACTAAAGGAAGCCACTGTCGGGGCTCAGCCGGAGGCCCCAGTTAAAGATGTCAGGATGAAAATGGCCAGCACTTCACTCGGGGGGCACCTTGTGGTGAGGTGAATGGGCCAGGGGAGGGGCCCCCCAGGCTGGACGGTGACCAGGCCCAGTGTTCACTGAGGCCACTTTATGCATAGGCGAAGACCTCCGGAAAGTTCTCCAGTGAGGAGCTGGACAAGCTGTGGCGGGAGTTCCAGCACCACCGGGAGAAGGTCCTCGAGTACAACATCCTGCTGGAGACTGTGAGCAGGACCGAAGGTGCCGCTGCCCCGCACCCTCCCCGCACGCCGTCAGCTCCACCACATACTGAGCAGGCCTGGTACTCCGGGGGCTCCCCATGGCACATCCGGTTGGATGAAGCCTGGAGGGACGCAGCCCGCCTGGCCCATCACAGCCTCTCCTGCCCAGGAAGACGCGCAGGCGCTGCCTTTTGTGTGGTGTGGTGGCGCTTCTGTGTTGGGCTCTGCCTGCACTGTAGATGCATGGTTGCCCGCCTCAGGAAGTCAGGCTGCCCGCAGGGAGGGCAGTGCAGGGCACTGGGGTCGGCCTGTGTGCTCACGCCTGCCAGGAGGTGGCGAGGACAGCTCCTGTGGGAGGAGGCAGAGGCCCGAGGGCGATCCCACGCAGATGGCCACCAGCTCTCGTGGCCCAGGGGCTGCGGGTGACAGCTCAGGGTGGCTCAGGCACAGCTGCCCTTGGCAGGCCCTCTGCAGGCGTTCTGTCTCCTCTCCCACAGAAATTCAGGAAAACGTCATCAGCCCCTCGGATGTGAGCCACATCAAGGGGGACGTGCTGCACAGCAGGCACGTGGAGCTGAAGGACAGGCTCCGGGGCATCAACCAGGGCTTCGACCGCCTGAGGAAGGTCAGCCACCAGGGCTACGGCTCCACTGCTGGTGAGCGAGACCCTCCCCGGCCCTTGCCCTGCCAGGCGGTGCCCTCCCCAGTCCAGGAGCCGCATGGCTGTGTTTTCCGTCTCCCACCTTTCACGTGTGTCAGTCTTCCCGTGGCCTTCAGTCAGGACCCCTGCCACTTGGTGGCTCATACCAGAGCCCCTCACTCACACGCTGCCGCTTCTCCCCTGGCCTCCAGAGCCCACATGCGTTCTCCGCCTCACATACCGCACAGCTGGGTGGCGGCCTGCCCCACCCCCGGGGAGGCAGAGGGGCAGGAGGCAGTCCCGGGCCCAGCTCTGCCCCCTGTGTGCCCTTGGGTGGGACTCCACCCCACCCGGGCCCGCTTGGTTGGCTGTGGAGGGGTGAAAGGACTGCCCCGTGGGCCCATGTGGGAAGGGGGCCAGAGCCCGGTGGGGTGGCGGGGCTGCTGTGCCAGGTGTCCCCAGCCCCCTCGCTCCCTGAGGCAGGCTGGGTCCTCGTGCTCTCCTGTTGGTCTGCTGACTCCTTCCAGCAGCTGCCCCAAAGCCCCCAAGGGCCCCAGGCAGGGAGGGGTCCGCTGAGGGACAGGGCGCAGCTGCCGGCAGTGTGCCCTGCGAGCTTGTCTCTCCTCTCCACTCGTGAATGCTGGCTGAGGTCCAGGGGTCCTTCCCATTCGCTCTGCTCCGCTTCAGAGCTGGGGCGGGAGTGGCCTGAGCCTCAGCCCTGAATTGGGAGGGTGGGTATCGTCCTCCAGATGCCCCAAGGAGCCCCTGGCCGCTCCACCCACGCCCCGCAGCCCCGAGGGCAGAGGAGCATGAGAGGCTCTGTACCTGTGGCAGGTCCCTCTGCAGGTGTGGGCAAGTGGTTGTGCACACGGGAGCCATGGCTTGGCTCTGACCCAGGGGCAGATGAGGGCACCACTCAAGCTGTGTGCCCAAAATGGGCCCTGCGAGCCGTGGACGAATGCTTGTGGAAATAATGCTGTTTGCTTCCAGAGGACACAGCACACACATGCACCCGCCCACACACGTCCCCTGGGTGAGCTGGGGCACGGCCCCCAGGCATCACGGGGGCCACCATACAGACCCCTGAGACTGCTTCTGCTCTTCTGCCAGAGTTTGAGGAACCACGAGTGATTGATCTGTGGGACCTGGCCAGGTCAGCCAACTTCACTGAGAAGGAACTAGAGTCCTTTCGGGTAAGGAGGCAGACCTCCGCGCTGGGCAGCGTGGGAAGGACTCTCCTGCTCCTTGCCCTCTGTGTCCCTCTGCGCTGGCTGGAGGCCCGTGTGGAACCGCCACATGCACGTCTCCGTCAGGTGAAGCCGGCGCAGCCGTGGGTGTGCCAGCCGTGAAGAGTTAGGGTTGTGCAGAAGCCGTGGGCAGAGAGGTACTTGGAGGAGGAGCGAAGGAGCCTGCGTGGGGGCCTGGCAGCGGGCCTGGAGGGATGGGCTTTGGGTCACCTGGGAACCACCTCAGTGGGTCCTGTTGTGACAAAGCTGCCACATACTGGTGGGTCAGGGTCAGGGGAGGACACGGGCCAGTGGCTCGGGGTCAGGGGGTGATGCAGGCCAGTGGGTCGGGGTTGGGGAGGACATGGGCTGGTGAGTCGGGGGTCAGGGTCGGGGGGATGCGGGCTGGTGGGTCGGGGTCGGGGAGGACATGGGCTGGTGAGTCGGGGGTCAGGGTCAGGGTGACACAGGCCGGTGGGTCGGGGGGATGCGGGCTGGTGGCATCGAGCTGCCATTGCCCGAATGGGAGCCTGCCTAGGGGGAGAGTGAGGCCTCCGAGGAGCGGTCGTCATGGGGAGGCGCTTGGCGTCATGTTGGGAGGTCAGCTGGGTGCTAGGCCCACCCTAGCAGGGCTTACACCAGTTCAGAGAGACACATGTAACCCCACCCCACCCCAAGTCCCCCACTCTGAGGCCCGGAAGCTCCGCCCAGACCAGGACTGCGGTGGAATCGGCACACTGGGTGGGAAGGGAGGCCAGGGAGCTGTGGACGAAGCCCGAGCCGAAGGTGTCGGGCTGGATGTGGGGTCACATCAGGAGGGAGCCGGGTGCCCGGCAAGTGTCGGTCCCTGAGGGGTCGGGTTGGGGAGGCTGTGGGGGAGCGACGAGGGCCCACAAAGGCCATCAGACCTGGTGGGCCCTGGGGGTGCTGCTCGCCGTATTTCCGGGGCAGCTGTGTGGGCTGCATGGCAAGGGGGCCTGGCGTGTGCAGCTTCAGGGTGGGGCCCACCTGCCAGCTGGGCTGAGCCCCAGCCCCCAGAGGATCTGGTCCCTGCACCACACGTGTGGCCCCCTCCTTAGGGGACCCTATTGTGGCAGTAAGGGCATGTTGGGGGGAAATTCAGTTTTAAACCTTGTTTTAGGAGGAGCTGAAGCACTTTGAATCCAAAATTGAAAAGCATAACCACTACCAGAAGCAGCTGGAAATTTCTCATCAAAAACTGAAACATGTGGAGAGCTTAGGTGACGCTGAGCACGTCAGCCGGAACAAAGAGAAATACGCTTTGCTGGAGGAGAAGACCAAGGAGCTCGGCTACAAGGTGCGCACGTGGCTACCTGGGGTCTGCCCCCGTCCTGCCCACTGTTCCGTAGGCATGTCGGCACCAGAGGGCTGTGCACTGTGGTGCCAGGACAGGCTGGGACAGGGTAGGGCCTTCCTAGCTCCTCCCACCCCATCTGCCTCTGGGCCTGTGGAGGGTGGGACACCTCTCTTGCCACCTGGGCTCTCAACCAGCTGACCTGGTGCAGGGGAGTGAGCGCAGGCGGGCGTGGACAGGGCTGCAGCCAGGGCCCCCCTCCGGTGCACAGCTGGCATCCTGTCCCTAAAAATGTGCAGCCAGTCACTGGTCCTGAGCACCCTTACTCCTGTACAAGCCGCGTGAAGTCACCTCGGACTCTCCTGGGTGCACACACTAGGCAGCAGTTTCCTGAGAATTCGACTTGGTACACTTGGAGACCATGCTTCGTCCCACAGGAGACAGGGACCCAGACAGGCAGCAGCAGGTGGCTCCACAGGGTTACCCTGTCTGACCTGGACAGGGTGTCAGCTCCGTTTGGGGTGGCATTCAGACCCCAGGTGATACACAGGCACGTAGGGCAGCTGAGTCCAAGACAGACACTCACTGCAGAGCTCTTCGTCTATCAGGTCTGCTTTCCAGACCCTCCGGGGTGACCGTCTACCCTGGCCGGGCCATGAACTGGCACGGTCACCAGGCCACCGCCTCATGCTGTGGACCAGCTGAGGTGGGACTAGCCGATGCCGCCCCACGGGGCTCCGGTTGGGGCAGGTGTGGGGCGGGTGCCCAGCCAGGCATTAAAACGTGAAGCACCCTTTATACAGAAACTTGTTTCTCAGCATGGTCTGCTTCTAGCTGTTTTAATATTCTTTGGTGATGATTTTTTAGTTAATAAAGAGCTATTATTTATTTATGGCAGTTTCTGGATGGGCAGATAAGTAGGGGAGCTCAGAAGTTTCCATTTTTAGAGTGTGTACCTCCTGATCTTGGGCAGACCCTGTAACTGGACCCTGTAACTGGTCTCTGCTGTGTGTTCCCTTCAGGTCAAGAAGCATTTACAGGACCTGTCCAGCCGCATCTCGAGAGCTCGCCACAATGAGCTCTGAGAGCCCTGGGAGCCGGCCAGCGGGAGGAAGGGGGCACCAGGGTCAGGGTCTCCTGAACACAGCCAGCGTGCGTGCGCGGTGGGGACGTGCCCCGTGGCCCTTGGCAGGGAAGGACCGGTTCACGTGCTGCCGTGTGCCCCGCACGGGGTCTGCGCAGCCACACCCAAGCTGCCCCGATGGGCAGGGCCCCTTCCGTCAAGCAGGGCTGGTGGCAGCCCCAGGGGAACGGCTGATTTCCAGCTGCCAGTGAGTGGTGGTCCTCGGTCCTGGGTGTCAGTCCATGTTGGAATCTCACAGATCTGCCACTGGAGGTGCCATGTGCACACAGAGTCCTTCACAATACACTGGCATATAAGTCACTCGGCTGGTTGTCTCACCGCGTCTGCGTCATCTTGCCACCTGGGTCTTTGCAGTCCGTGCTCTGGCTCCTCTGCCAGCTTGAGGTGCCCTCTTCCCCTCCCACACCCACACCCTGTTCTTCTCTGTTGCATGAGGTGCAGGAGGGGCCAGCATCTTTGCAGCTCTGCCACCCCCCACGGCAGTCTCCCCTGCCTTGACACCCAAGAGCATTCTGGAATTGAACTTGTGGGGGAAGAGGGACAGCACTGTGACCTCAGGCCCCCTCTGTACAGCTGAGGGGGCCTTGGTCCAGCCCTGTCCGACCTCCCCTCAGTGGATCTGGGTCAGGAAGAGCCCAGCGAGGCCACAGGGCTGGGTGTCCAGCAGAAGTGCCTCACTGTCACTGACTGACTCTCCCTGAGGAGTGGAGAGCGGGGGGCGGGGGGGTTTGTTCTCAGGCTCCAAGCAGACAGTCCCAGGGGGCATCTGACGTGATTCCCAAGTCTGGACCCAGAAGAGGCTTGACAGGCTGCATTCCCGTGCTGGGCACGGCTGGATCTCAGCCAGGATGTTGGGATCCACCACGCACACATACCCTGTTAGCCACGTGGTAGAAAAACCAAGGCCAAAGGACCTTGTGTGTCAGAACGTAGTGAACGCGAGCAGATGGCCTCGCAGCGGGCGGTATGGCACCGCCCTGCTCTCCCCGGGTCACTGGGCCCCTGGCGAGGGGCAGGGCTCAGCCTGGCACAGGAGCTGCCCTCTGGCCCTTGGTGTCAGGTCTGCCACCAAGTGGGCCGGCTGGCATGACCCTTGCGGTGCATGGCAGTTCTCGGCCATTGCTGGGCCTCCCAGGTGGGGTGCTTGTCCCTCAGTGGCACATCCAAGGCGTAGAGAAGGGCTGGCTGCCAGGCCTCTGCCAGCATCTGTGGGCCCGGAGCCCCAGGCCTCACACTCGGGTGTTGTCTGTGCGCCCCTTGTGCGCGGCAGGATAGCCCTGGCCCTCGTGGGATCGCAGTCAAGGGTGGGGGTGCGCCACCTGCAGTGAGGCACGGCCCAGGACGGGAGAAAACGGGCAGGCACTGACTCAGTTTACCACCTGAGGAGCTATAATAGAGGCACCGCCTGTGCGTCACACGTGCAGGAGAAAGAGCTGCTTCCTGGTGGTGGGTCTTTGCTGTCCCTTCCCTGAAGGAAGCAGGTAGGGCAGGAGGACCCAGCCAGAGAGGCCAGTAGTGCAGTTTGTTTTTAGCTTCTGAAGAATTGCTTAAAGTAAAACGTCTACATAAAAGTGCGGAAGACTCACCGGCAGCTCTGCATGGCCCCGAGTCGCCGAGCCCACCCCAAAGTCCAGGCGCAGAGAGGACTGTGGTCCGCCGGCACTCCGGCCCCTAGGACTCTCTCTGCTACGGCCAACCATGTGTGCGTCCGCCAAAATTCATGTTGAACCTGATCCCTGGGGGGTGGTAATGGCAGGTGGGGCCTCTGGTCATGCGGGCGGAGCCCTCGTGAATGAGGTCAGGGCCTTAGAAAGGCCCCGGAGAGCCTGGCCCCTTCCTCCGTGAGGACACAGCCAGAAGTCAGCCCCGCTGAGCCCCTGAGCCAGGTCTCCACACACTCCGTCCACACGCTGACTGGGCCTCTCGCCTCCAGACTAAGGGAAATGAGTGTGACTTGAGCCGCCCAGTCTGTGGAATGCCCTGAGCAGGGTAAGCCACGCCTCTCCACTTTTAATAAGGTGCGTTGCTGTCTGAACTTCGCAGGAAATGATGCTGTGCGTGTGTGTGCGCGCGCGCACGCGGTCTGGCTTCCTTCTGTTGGTAACGGGGAGACCCACCACTTGGTCCGCAGCTGACATGTGTCCCTTCCATTGCTGTGTCGTTGCACACTGTGGTGGCCACACCGCGCTCCGCTGCTGTTGATGAATGTTCGTGTTGTCGCTGGGCTTGGATGACAAGCGGGGGTCCTGCCGTGTGCGTTCCTTCCAGTGGGTGGCCAGGGGGCTTCTGCTCGTTTTGGCTTCCCGCCGCAGGCTGGTACGATCAATCCTGGATGACTTCCAAGACGCCGCACTCGGTCTTTAGTTTTAGACATGTGGCTGGCATTTAGCCACACACAGTTGTGGGGTAATTTGTTGTGTTGCATTTTAGGTGATTTTTTGTGCGAGAAACAGGAAGGAGGAGCACACGCAGATGGGCACAGCTCCCGAGTGCGGGTGGTGGCACTCGCCGGTGTGGCCGCTACCCAGGAGACACAGGTGGTCCCTTCACTCCGGAGCCCCATCGCACCCCGGAGGGGGCTCCCCGTGACTTTCACCATCACAGCCTGCTTTCGGCCGTCTGCGCCCCCATAGAAATAGGACAGCCGGGGGCGTGGCGTCTGCTTTCCTTCACCCCGTGCATGTTTCGCCAGTGGTTCCAGACCTCGCAGAGAGCTCCGTGCCCTGGCACGCAGGGGGCGCCGGCTGACGAGTGTTTCAGTTGCCAGTCTTGGTTGCAGCCCAAGGTTCATTTTATCTTTATATTCCAGCACTTTCTTTCACACAGATTTTTCTCCTCTGATAATTGTTTCAGCGTGTCAGTCAAAGTCAAGTGAACACCCCCCAGAGGCGGCTGTTTCCAGACTCCAGCCGCCGGGCGTCACGCCAGTGCTGTCTTGATCTCAGTAGCTCTGTGATGTATCTTCAAATCAGGCGGCGTGCATTCTCCTCCGTTTTTTAAAGACCCTCTAGAGGTCATCTGCATTTCCTTTGACAGCTTAGGATCAGCTTTTCAGGTTTTCCAAAAATACTGCCCCCAATTTCTGTGGGGCTCAGGTCTCTCTGGAGAGTCAGCACCCCACAGTGTGGAGCCACCACCACACCCCATTTACTGAGCTCGACTTTAATTTCTCAGCAGTGGCCTGTTTTCTGTACACAGATCCTGTATGTGTCATTAAATCTGCTCCTGGGTATTGGACATTTTATGCTATTGAGAATAGTATGTTTTTATTCATTTTTCCACGGTGTGTTTTCATAGGATCACAGCTCCTGTTCCCTCTTCCCACGCAGCTCTGCACGCTTGCTCGTGTCTCTGCCCTGGCCAGCTCGTCCTGTCCAGTGCGAGTGGCAGCGGCTCCCAGCCTTGTGGAATCCCGCTCGTTCTTTCAGTTAAGGGTCGTGTTGGCTCTGGAGTTTTTATGGGTGCCCCACAGATTGGAGGGGTTCTGTCCTGCTTTGCTGAGAGTTTTTCTTGTGTGAGTATTGAACGGTGTCAAGTGCTTTTTGCATGCCCACCGAGGAGATGGTCGAGGTGTGCCCCTGTGTTGTGCCACTGCTGTGAAGCATGTGGACTGTCACATGCTGAAGTGGCCTCGCACGCCCGGGTGAATGCCGCTGGGCCAGGCCGCACTGTCCTTTTCTGTCTGATGGATTAGATTTGCTAATACTCGGTTAAGGACTTTTCTGTGTATTCTCACCAGGGACCCTGATCTGCGGTTTTGTTTTTCTTGTCATAGGAGCTTTTGGGCTTATTGACTTTTCTGTATTGTTTGCTTTCTTTTTCACTGACTTCTAGTCTTACTATTTACATTTCCTTCTGTGTGGTGTTTAATTTGTTGTCCTTTTTCTGGCTTCTGATGATAGCAGCTTAGATCATTGATTAAGAATATAGAACAGTGGACAACAGAATTAACTATCTTGATCTACTTATGCCCTTTAGAGAAAACATATTCTTCTTAGACAGAACATTTTTAAATTGACTATGCACCAGGATGCAAAGCAAATGCCAATTTTCAAAAGATAGATTAGAATGATACAGATCACATTTTTTGACAGTGCAATTAAGAAGGAAATCAGTGAGACAATTATTAAAATAAGTACATTTAGAAACTTTAAAAATACATTTGGATCAAAGAAGAAATCATATTAGAAAATACTTTTAATTGAATGACAGTGAAAATACTGCACACACCAAAATTTGGGGGGTGTGGTAGAGTGATATTTGGGGGAAGTTTATAACCATAAGTGCCTTTTTTTTTTTTTAAAGAACAAAGGGACGTCCAGTTCCAGTAATGGCAGGCTGGGTTATCTGCACTAACTCACACACTGAAAATAACTATGTTCTCTTCAGTATTAAACATCTCAGTCAAAGCAGTAGAAAGCTGACAGCCTATGAAGGTGCGACCAGGGCAGATGAAGGGCCCACGGGAGCCCAGAGGCAGGGGCGGGGCTGAAGCACCTGCTGTCTCCCCGCAGGGGCTTAGCGCTTCTGGGCCTTCCTCAGTGAGAGGACGAGGCAGGGCCGCAGGCTGGTCTGCTGCAGGGCACGCCTCTCGCTATGAAGCTGGGCCTCATGAGCTCCCACCTCAGGGCCAGACCACACCAGCCCCTCCTCCCTGCCCCAGGAAAGGCGGGCTGGCCAGCTGCTGCACACACCAAGGGGGGTAAAGTCCCATTACTGAGCACCCTGACCCAGGGTCAGCACCCCAGCCTGCTCTGGGCCTCACACCACAGACGTCACTCACGGTGGTTCAGGCCCGGTAGTGCTCTGGCACCTGGTAGAAGTTAACATAAACAGCCCTTTCTGGAAGAAATTGTCTTTCTCCTCCTTCTCAAACCCAGAGTAATTGTTCACAGACACAGACTAACACAGAAGGCAGCAAAGCCCTGCAAGTGGGGACACAGGAGGAGGGGCAGGGGCAGGTGGGTAAGGATGCAAGGCACGGGGGTGGCCGGCAGTGGCTGCTAGGTGACGCACACATTGTGCACATAAATGGTAGTCACAAGTGCCCTCAAGGAGCAGGAAACTACGGCGTTCCCTAGCAGATTGGAAGAGCCCCTTAGAACGTCTGGATTTGGGGGAGAGAGAAAAGGCCTGTAGCTAGAGCAAAGAATGTCTCTTCAGTAAATAGGTGGGGGCGATCTGTCATATTCAGGGGAAAAGTTGCCCTCAAACCATCTACAAAACTTAATTCAAGACCTAATATCAAAACTAAAAATCTAAAGATTCTTGGAGAAAACAGGAGAATATCTTTCTGATCA